ATATTGTCTTTGCTTTTTTGACTTTTGCCAATTTGGCTGTGATATGCCTTGGAGAAGATCTTATGTTGAATACATTTGGTATTTGTAGTTTCTGGGTCTGTATGTCTCTCTAGGTAGAGGAAGTTTCCAGGTAGTATTTAATGACGGAGATTTTCTATGCCTTTGTGTCTTTGCCTTCACTGTAATAACCACTATGTGGATGTTTAACTACTTAACAGTGTCTAAAATTTCCCATATATCGTCCTCATTTTTCATGGTTATTTTTTTCACTCTTTTTGGTGGCTTAGACTAAATGAGAGGTTTTGTCCTCAAGGTGAGAGATCTGCCTAGTCTAATCTGCTGCTGATGCTTTCAAGAGAGATTTTAATTTCTTCTCTTGTATTCTTCATCTCCAAAAGTTCTGTTTGGTTGTTTTATAGGGTGTCTGTCTCTTGATAGAGCTCCTCCTCTACATCATGGAATGATATTCTGATCTCTTGGAACTGGTTGTCTGTTTTCTCTTGCATCTCACTGAGTTTTCTTATGAAAAAAATTTTTAATGCCTTTTCTGACATTTCTGTGATTTCCTATGCCTTATATTATCAATGAGAACTTTCTGTATTCTTTTGGGAGAGATTTATATATTTTTTTTTTTCTTGTTGTCTCTGCATTTATTTTTAGGTCTCTGACAGAGTACTCACTTCTTCCTAATTTTTGGCAATGAGAAGTTACTGTATTCTTTTGGGAGAGATTTATATATTATTTTTTTCTTGTTGTCTCTGCATTTATTTTTAGGTCTCTGACAGAGTACTCACTTCTTCCTAATTTTTGGAGTATATTCTCTAATGCCAGCAGAGACAGAACAGCCCTAGGTCCAAGTGCGCCCCTGGTAACATGGCTCAAGAGGAGCTGGAAGCCAGCTACTTCCTTCAGATCAGATTAGGGCTTATGTGGCCTGTGTATAAAACAGTTCAGGGAGGTCCAGAGGAGCTCCTGTGGGTGGTGTCAGGGCAGGTAGTTATTCCCCTGGACTTCACTCTGAAGGGAGGGAGAGAACAGTCCTGCCCACCTGCCAGACAGGGGATAGTGACCAAATTTGCATTCTCAATTGGATGTGGGTGCTCTGTTTTTGTGTCTTCTGCTCCAAATGTGCTGTTAAGTCTGGCTTGTAAGCAGAGCGCCACTTGCTGGTTGGCTTGCAGGATGGCATACTGCTTTTAAGCGTTGAAATTTGTAGAAAATGCTGGAATCTGCAGTGGGAGTCTGGGTTTCAGAGTTTCAAGGAGAGTTTTTTTTTTTTTTTTTTCATTTTCTCCCCTTCAGTGAGAAAGGTGGGTAACTAGGGGTGGTGGGGATGAGTACTGCTGGAGCCTCACAAGCTTCAGAGGAATGATTTCCTCTTTCCTCTTGCAAGTAGAAAGTATGTGTTCCAGACGTCCCCGCTGGCTTTCTCTTGCACTTCGTTGGTCATGCCTCACTCCCCTGCTGGCTGTTTAGGCATTTATTAGCCTTTCTTCTCAGAGACACACCAGGACGGTTGTTTCTAGTTGGCTCTCTTTTTTTTTGGAGAGGTTTTTGCCATAGGGCGCGTGCGCTCGCCAGACAGAGAGAGACAGAAAGACAGAAAGCGAGAAATCACCCCCCAGGGGGGATGGTCATGCCGCAGTCCCTTCTCCTCCATTCTCCTCTCGGGATCTTGGGCACGCACGCACACGCACCCAGTATGAGTTTTAAGCCACCGGGTCCGGGACGCGAACCGTGGTCGACTATGTGGGAGTCCAATGACATAGCCATTACGCTAACTGCTGGTCCCCTCTAGTTAACTCTCTTGATCCCATTCTCCCAGGTCAGTAATTCTTAACCTGTTTGAACTTGGGCTGATTATCTGTAAAGTGGATATTTTACCTGTCTACATACTGACAACTATGCTCTGTAATGTAATATGTAATGTGAACATATACTATAATTACTGTGTGTGTTTTTTAATATTGCATTTATTTTCTTATATCCCAGGATCCTACTTGCATGTTATATGCTTGTCTGGGTCCTCATCCAGGCTGTAGTTATGTATGTTGCTTTCCCTTGTGTTCCCTAAGTGTAGTGCACTGCATTGTCCTTCATTACAGGAAGTCCGTTTGCATCTGAGGAGCTTTCCAACATCTCAGGTTCTTTTTTTTTCCTAATCCCGTTGTTAAGAGGATTGGCTATTTCACCTCCTGAGTTTCCCCCATGGTTACCAAAGCCTCCCATGGTTACCAAAGCCCCCCATGAAAATATTCAGTCTTATTCTCTTTATCCAAAAATGATGTTTCTTTACCATTGCATCTGAATGATAGCATTGGCCTAGACCCCTGATTAAAGTGAAATTGAGCCAATTTCTAGTGTTGAGTAAAATGGAGTATGTAGTGTAGAATGTTACACTGGTTTACTAAATTTAGAAAACATAATAATGCTGGCTTTCCTGATAGGAATAATTAAAGTGCCTGTTAATAATTTAAAGCAAAATTGCTTGTCAGTAGCAACACTAGTTCATTCATTCCCCATGTACAGGTTGGGTCAGTCTGGTTTGTTTTATGTTATTTTAAAATTACCATCAGCAGTTCTTCCAGCCAGGTCTTTAGACCTGCAGCATTAGCAACACTTGAGAACTTATTAGAAAAGCAAGTTCTGGGGCCACAACTCAGGTCTACTAAATCAGAAGCAGTGAGGATGAAGCCTCGCAAGGGATTTTGATGCAAATAAAGTTTGAAGACCATTAGCTTAAATTATTTTTCCCAAGCACCATCAGCTCACTCCTGATTAACTTCATCGAACACATGTTCCACTGAAATCTTCTTGGCTGTATTTTAATTCCCTTTAGATCTTAGATCTTTGCAATGAAAGATTACAGGACTAGACATGAAAATTATCCACTATAGTAAGCACTATCACAGCCTTTTATCTTATGACTTTTAGTCTAACACTATATAAGAAATAATAAAACAATGCTTTATTATAATTAAACAGATGGTCTGAAGCCAGGTGTCCAGATTCCAGCTTGACACCGACAGGTATGAAATTATGGTCAAACTAACCCTCTGAGCCTTAGTTTTTCAGGGTTCTTGCAAGTAGAAAGTATGTGTTCCAGACGTCCCCGCTGGCTTTCTCTTGCACTTCGTTGGTCATGCCTCACTCCCCTGCTGGCTGTTTAGGCATTTATTAGCCTTTCTTCTCAGAGACACACCAGGACGGTTGTTTCTAGTTGGCTCTCTTTTTTTTTGGAGAGGTTTTTGCCATAGGGCGCGTGCGCTCGCCAGACAGAGAGAGACAGAAAGACAGAAAGCGAGAAATCACCCCCCAGGGGGGATGGTCATGCCGCAGTCCCTTCTCCTCCATTCTCCTCTCGGGATCTTGGGCACGCACGCACACGCACCCAGTATGAGTTTTAAGCCACCGGGTCCGGGACGCGAACCGTGGTCGACTATGTGGGAGTCCAATGACATAGCCATTACGCTAACTGCTGGTCCCCTCTAGTTAACTCTCTTGATCCCATTCTCCCAGGTCAGTAATTCTTAACCTGTTTGAACTTGGGCTGATTATCTGTAAAGTGGATATTTTACCTGTCTACATACTGACAACTATGCTCTGTAATGTAATATGTAATGTGAACATATACTATAATTACTGTGTGTGTTTTTTAATATTGCATTTATTTTCTTATATCCCAGGATCCTACTTGCATGTTATATGATTGTCTGGGTCCTCATCCAGGCTGTAGTTATGTATGTTGCTTTCCCTTGTGTTCCCTAAGTGTAGTGCACTGCATTGTCCTTCATTACAGGAAGTCCGTTTGCATCTGAGGAGCTTTCCAACATCTCAGGTTCTTTTTTTTTCCTAATCCCGTTGTTAAGAGGATTGGCTATTTCACCTCCTGAGTTTCCCCCATGGTTACCAAAGCCTCCCATGGTTACCAAAGCCCCCCATGAAAATATTCAGTCTTATTCTCTTTATCCAAAAATGATGTTTCTTTACCATTGCATCTGAATGATAGCATTGGCCTAGACCCCTGATTAAAGTGAAATTGAGCCAATTTCTAGTGTTGAGTAAAATGGAGTATGTAGTGTAGAATGTTACACTGGTTTACTAAATTTAGAAAACATAATAATGCTGGCTTTCCTGATAGGAATAATTAAAGTGCCTGTTAATAATTTAAAGCAAAATTGCTTGTCAGTAGCAACACTAGTTCATTCATTCCCCATGTACAGGTTGGGTCAGTCTGGTTTGTTTTATGTTATTTTAAAATTACCATCAGCAGTTCTTCCAGCCAGGTCTTTAGACCTGCAGCATTAGCAACACTTGAGAACTTATTAGAAAAGCAAGTTCTGGGGCCACAACTCAGGTCTACTAAATCAGAAGCAGTGAGGATGAAGCCTCGCAAGGGATTTTGATGCAAATAAAGTTTGAAGACCATTAGCTTAAATTATTTTTCCCAAGCACCATCAGCTCACTCCTGATTAACTTCATCGAACACATGTTCCACTGAAATCTTCTTGGCTGTATTTTAATTCCCTTTAGATCTTAGATCTTTGCAATGAAAGATTACAGGACTAGACATGAAAATTATCCACTATAGTAAGCACTATCACAGCCTTTTATCTTATGACTTTTAGTCTAACACTATATAAGAAATAATAAAACAATGCTTTATTATAATTAAACAGATGGTCTGAAGCCAGGTGTCCAGATTCCAGCTTGACACCGACAGGTATGAAATTATGGTCAAACTAACCCTCTGAGCCTTAGTTTTTCAGGGTGTGATATTGGGGGAGGGTGCAGTGGGGAAGCAAGGAGGGATTACACAGACCCCTTAGAGTAGTTGTGAAGGTCTCAAAATAACGTATGTGAAGTGTTTAGTAATAGTAGCTGGCACATAGTAGGGGGTCTCTTACTATGATTCAAAGACTCCATTTAAAAGAACAGATTTTTTTCTTAATGAAAGAAAGACACATTACACTATAGAAAGTAAAGGAAACGATTCTTACCTTTGATGTCCAAAACTAAATTTGGCTTTAACTTGCTGTAGATTCTGCCATCTGACTTCATGCTCCAGAACTGGCTGTCCACGTTCTGGTCAAGCGCCAGGCCGAGTTTAGAGCCGGATGTTACTAGGCTGCCCACGATCGTCAGGCAGCAGTCTTCGGCTATCTGCTTAGTGGAAAGTGACATATCTTAGTGGGTACATGTTTAAGTCTTAATTATTTCCCTGGTTAAACTGACTTTTAAAATGGCCTTGGGTCCTGGCTTCAGTTATCTACATGAGGCATTTCAGCTTATACTCAGAGTAACTAGAATCAAATATTTATGTCATTTATACTAGGTGATGAAAGTGAGAAAACTCCCAATTCTTGTCTATTTTAAGAGACTTCTGCCCTTTGCAAGACTCTCTGTCTTGCATCAGAATAGCAAAACTGCCTCTCATGATATTTTTCTCTGTCAGAAGTGACTATGAGCTGAAGCTGGGTCTGTAGCTAAATACCACTCACCCTCCCACCACCCCAACATATCCACCTCTGCCTCGCCTGACCTTCCGGTTTATGAATAAACCTCTAGTTTTGTAGCAGCAGAATGGCTAAAAGGTATATTATCACTTTAAGTTGTATTTATTAAGTTACTCTTGTCTTCATGAGAAATACCTAAAGTTTTCTAAACAGGCATGCTGTTCAGCTGTAAGAAGGTAGAGAAAATACAAACTCACTAAAGAGTATCTTAACAAAGAGACTTCATGAGTCCTTCCCTGAAGCTAATCTGCCCTTAATAAATAATGTATGGCAGTCATATGTCAAATGCCATAAACACATAAACTGCTGAAAGGCACCATTTTCTTGAATTGTTCAACGTAATTTAAGGACAGAGTTAGCTGCTGCTCATGCTGTCTATTACAGCGAGTTTGTTTTCCAAGCTATTTCTTCTATGGCTGTCTAAGCGGTGCTTTTGTTTACTGAGAGGATTCTCCCTCAAGCAACAGACTCAGTTAACAAGTTGAGCTCCTTTTCACAAGGCTGTAAGCTTAAGGCTGTAAGCTTTTTGCTGACTCATGGACACCATTTTTTTTTTTTAAAGCACAGTCAAGCCCATAAAATCAAGGAGTAAAAAAGGTATCTACAATAGAAGCATGAACTTCTCTCATAAAATCTTACTACATTCAGCTTTTAAATGTCTTGTTACGGCAGGAGTAAAGTGAGAAGGGGAAGGGCCATCTTCTACTTTACAACCTGACAATTAGGAAAGGATCCGTGTTGTACACGCAAAGGTATCTCTCCACCCTTTGTCTTATTCTGCAGTGTTCTACAGGATGGAACGAAACCCAAGCGTGATTTTTGTTGACAGGGCTGGGACTCATTATTTATTAGCATCTCAAGCAAATTAAGGAAAAGGGGAAGAACAACAAACATTTTCGTTTTAATTACTATATAAAAATCAAGAATAGATGTACTCTTATCTTGGATCAGTAGCAGGCTTACTTCTCATTTTAAGTTCCTTGACTGGTTCTGTCAGAGTTAGGAAATAAATGTTTTCATTAAAAAAAAAAAAATCCCAACATTTCTGAAAGTGCTCCAGGAGTCAGGCAATAGCACCTACTTGGAAATCAAAAGCCTGCTAGGGGATGAGCCGCTTCCCCACAAAAACATCACAGGGCCCTGTCTGATCCAAAAAGCTCACCCTGCATTTGATGCATCCTTCTTGATAAATCCAAATCTGGTCATCAGCACCAACATCCTCCATGACCTGTATTCTAAGAAGCTTCAAATCCTCTAAGTTTCCATTGGTTGACATAAATAACCCTGTTGCTTTGTTTCGAAGTCTGAAATAAATTCGTTTCTAGAAGACAAAACCCCCAGCAATTGACATCTATAAGTTATACTGTTTAGAAACTTTGAATAATCATAAATACCAGGAAGAATCCAAAGTGAGGTATGACTTGGGGATAATTACTAGTCTCCAAGTTTTAGGATTTTTCTCGAATCAAAAGATGTGGTCAAAATTTCATAGTGCCTAGGGCAGGGAGCCTGGCTGTGGCCAACCCAGGGTGTGGGACATTGTTTGATTTGGGTTTGATAGCATCTCTGAATCAGCCACACCTCTTATCACCAGAAACAGCCCAAATTCCAGGGAAGACAGGGTGGGGAGGCTACTTTCATTTGAAACTAAGAGGTGGAATTGTATTTACCAAAAAATTTTAAAAAGAAATTTTTCAGAGAAAGTCTACCTACAGCATGGAAAAGAGAAAAATACCTGAACAAAAGGTCGTAGAGAACCTATTTGCCGACAGCCACTGAATTCATACCAATTAGGTACTTCTGCTGGTGACAGTAAGAACTGTCGACCTCTGTAATTGCCATACTCATAAGTCACCCATCTGAAAAAAAAGGAGATAGCCACAGCAAATCACAGTGGACTCTAGTTACAGTTTTTTTTAACAGTCTTACAATTTCTAGGCTGAATTTTATACTTTACATATATAGCGGAGGAAGGAGGATTGAAACTACCTAATTTCCCCCAACACTTAGAGCAGCCATTGCATGACAAATAGCAAATTTTTTTGAGAATTTATGCCAAAAAGACCCATTCTTGAAGAGAGAAACAGGTTATTTCCTTCCAACAAAGCAATGAAATCATCTTTTAGTGGGACAACCCAGTCCTTCCCGTGAGCTTTTCATAAAACAGCTTCAGTTATAACAGATCTTGAAGTTATTTAAAGAGGTCATATTTGCAAAGCTTTAGTGTGTAGTATGTGGTAAGTGCCAAATGTGAGTTAAATAAAAAGTAGTGATAAACTTTTGTTTAAAACCGTAATTTTCCTCAAATCCAGAAAGCTGCTAAAGATATCGAGGTTCCTTCTAGTCAGAGTTGCTGGTGCCGCACACCTGAGGGAGTGTGAGTCCACACAGAGACCAGCACGTGAGCAACCCAGCAGCCTCCCCACTCCTGATATAGTACCTCAAGGAAGAATGCCCTCTATTTCTAACCCTGGAACGCTAAACTGTTACCACGTTAGCTATTTTATTAGAAAAACAAAATATTAATTAAAACCAATATGTACAACACACTCTCCTAGGAACTTTGAGAAGTGTTAAACAGTCCTTACTTTAAATAAACTGAAAATGTGGATAAGGAGATGAAAGATGTTTTTACAAAGGACCTTTTCCAGTGAGAGAAGTATATTACAAAGGTACTTACTTATTTATGAGATATTTTGCTATGGGGCACCAGAGAAAGATGGAGAGAGAGAAAGTGAGAAATCACACTGCTCCCAAGGGGAATGGCCACACAGTCCCTTCCCCTCCATTCTCCTCTTGGGATTTTGTATCCACGCACACACGCATCTGGTGTGAGTTTCAAGCCACCAGGTCTGAGACTTGAACCGTGGTCAGCTATGTGGGAGTCCAGCACCTTAATCATTATGCTATCTACTGGTTTTGGTATATAATTATTAACCCTTACAGAAAAGAAGAGGTTATATGACACTTAGTTTAAGGTTAATGCAGGAGAGAGTGAGTCTGATCAAACTTGATTTTTACAATGATCTATTTGATCGAAATAGAATGTAGGTAACTCACATGCCACCAATAACCTGAATGGAGCGTATTTGTGTGTTGAATCCCAGGGATCGGAGGTTAACCGTTTCTGCATTTAATTCGATCTTTTTTCCTTTGAAGTTTTCTCGTTCAAAAAGAATAATCACTGGTTCAGAAAATTCCTGTTCAAGAACAAAAATATTCTGGTCATCTCAGTTAATAATTTGAACTTAGGTGAACATCATCTTGTTTGAGGAAAAAGCACAAGATCTACAATCGGCCTACTCATAAACTCCCTTCCCCGGGAAGTCTGAAGCTAGAGGAAGGATGGAGGGGCAGAAAATTTTTACACTGCATAGAAAGACAATTTTAAGTAGTGTTATTAAGTAGGACAAAACAAAATACATATTAAAATCTGTTAAAGGAAATATCACCCATAATCTACCATACTAGTATTTCACGATTTTTTTTTTTTGAGAGATTTTTGCTATAGGGCATGTGTGCTTGCTGGAGAGACAGAAAGAGACAGCACGCAGAAAGAGAAAAATCATCGCCTGGGAGTGATTGGCCACACTGCAATCCCTTCTCCATTCTCTCAGGATCTTGGGTGCACACACAGGTACCTAGTGTGAGTTTTAAGTCACTGGGTCCGGGACTCAAACTACATGGGAGTCCAGGGATATAACCATTACACCATCTGCTGGTCCCAACTTTTTAAGTAGCTGTGTCTCCTTCTAGCATCTGATGCATACAGGCAGGTCAACATATTGCACAGGTAAATGGCTATGGGCCTGGAATAGTAACGCTTCTACGGGAATTTATTTCCAACCTAATTGTTTCCACTGGGACAAAGAGGGGCTGGGAAGCCATGGACATAAATGGCCAGGGTCAGGGGGCGATGGCAGTCTGGTGTCTAATGGCACCACAATTAATCCTACTACCTAATCAAGGAAACCACCTCTTGTATGTATTTTCAAATGTCTTTGTTTTGTTCTCTGTATTGTCAATAAAGCAATGATTCTATATACTGGTGCTCCCCAAATTATTGTTGAGGAGAGAGAAAAAAAAAAAAGGACAGAAGCCCCATGTTCAAACTATCATTTTAAAGAGGCCAGTAGCACAAAATGTACTGATTTTCAGAAAAATGAAAAGTTGGCAGTTACACTTATTTTTTAAAAGTGTATTTATGATAGCATATTCATGCATATGAGCAGGGAGCACCTTTGAGAGAATACTGTCACCCCATGGTTCTCTTTCTCTAGCCTTCCAACTTGTCAGGCTCTTGGGCACAGGTGCACATACCTGGCAATAGTTTGACCCCAGGATCCAAACCCCAGCTCAACCATGTGGCTTCCAGCACTGGAGTTTGGTTTGCTACAAGCTGCACCACCAGGCAGGGCCATCTATTCGCTTTTTCCACATTATAAACCCCTGTGACCTACACTAAGCTCTAATGATAATACTCCTAAGCCATAAATGATACATCAAAAAAGCATATGGGGATTACAGACTTTCCCTCCCTGCTTGAAGTTTTGTGGCAAGGGTGTGACACTTCACGCCACATTTATGTGGATGTGCCCTGACATGTAGAGAAGATTTTTGTACGTCAGTAAACAGAGCAGATTAGTGTACAGAGTTGGTTTGTATGGTCTATGAATTAGGTTATATAAAATATACGAGGAAAACCAAGACAAAAATTGTAGTAATATTAATGCTTTCATTTTTACTGCACTTTTCTCTGAGATGGCATGCCAAGAATGTTATAAATATTCAATGAAGCTTTTTTTTTTTGGAGAGGTTTTTGCTATAGGGTGCTTGTGCTCATCGGACAGACAGAGAGAGACAGAGACAGAAAGTGAGAAATCACCCCCCCCGGGGGGGATGGCCACGCCACAATCCCTTCTCCTCCATTCTCCTCTCAGGATCTTGGGCACGCACACACACGCGCCCGGCGTGAGTTTAAGTCACCGGGTCCAGGACTCGAACCGCAGTCGACTACGTGGGAGTCCAGCGACATAGCCATTACACTAACTGTTGGTCCCTGAAGCTTAATATTTTAAAAAACATTTTTTCAAGTTTAAGACACAGTTAAAGCTCTGTAGTCATACTATGTGTAAATTGTTCATTTCCTCAAATCAAAACTTTAAAAGGACACAATTTCTAAGGATCGGAGTGATGGAAGCATATATGCCAAGTTCTGGCTGAGGGAAGACATTTGAAAGCTTTAAAATCTATACGTTTAGGTAGCTTTTAGAATTCTAGTCAGGTTAACTGTTGAAAAGTCTATTTCATTAGCTTGTAAGCTAATGAATCTTATTACTCCATGTGTCGCTCCAACCATTTTACGTCTCAATAACATTGTAGTTATTTAACAGGCAGGTAGGGTAAGATACACCCAACTCACAAATATGTTCTTCCTACATTTAAAACTGAAATCACCAACTACATTTTGTTTAAAGCTTTTAATGAGAGATTAGCTCACAAAAACTAATAAAAATTTCCAAAAGTACAGACACATCAGACCTTTCTTTTCAACTGCCAGAGGCATGTGTGCTCACCAGAAAGACAAAAAAAGGAAGGAGAAACAGCCTGTGGTGGAGTGTGGTCGTGCTGCGATCCCCTCTCCTCTGTATCTCTGCCCTGTCAGAACTTTGGGCACACAAGCACGTCCAGTGTGGTTTTCAAGCTGCTGAAGCCAGGATTCAAACCACACGGCTGACCATGTAGGATCCAGTTTCTGTAACCATGGGGCTATGGGACTGGCCCTAGACTTTATACCTGCACTCATGATCTTGCAGTTTTGTGATTATTGCTTTGAGTACATTAAACTGAAAAGATTCTATCCAGAAGAGGGCAGTATGATCCAGGTTAGCACATAGGCAGAAAACTGGGAAAAATCATTTGATTACAAAACTAAAACCACATGGACCAGCAGATGGTGTAACAGTTACATCACTGGACTCCCACATAATCGACAGCAGTTCGAGTCCTGGACCTGGCAACTTAAAACTCAGGCTGGATGCGTGTGCATGCGAGCCCAAAATCCTGAGAGAGGATGGAGGAGAAGGGATTGCAGGTGTTCATCACCCATGGGGATTTCTTACTTTCTGTCGCTTTCTGTCTCTCTGACAAATGCAAGTGCCCTATAGCAAAAATCTCTGAAAAAAAAAAGCTAAAACAACCAAGTAATACTAGATTACAAAGCTAAAAGGAATTTCTGCAAATCAGTAATAACAATAAAAGATTTAGTAAACCAAATAAAATAAAGAGTTGGGTAAAGGCCACGAGTAAAAATTTACTAAACAGAAAACCCAGATGATAAATAAGTGTATGAGATTCCAACTTCACAAACAGTGAAATAAATATAAACCCAATAATGAAATAATATTTGCTGCCCATTCCATCAGACTGACAAAAATTAGAAAGCCTGCGAATAATCAGGAACGGCAGCAACATGGGCAGCAGGAA